GATTTGGAAATGGAGAGCGAAATGAACGCGGCTCGTAGCATTTGTCGAAAACAACCATTTCCACTAAACTGCATAATTCATAATCCATAATTTCCACATAATATTCCACATAAATGTCATGCTTGAAAAATCCGAAAAGCGGCAGTGGGCGTGGAAGGAAACTAATGGAACAACCCTTAACCAAATCGACTACGTGCTATCGGACGCAAGCTGGGTAATAACAGATGTGTCTATAATTAGAAAAAACATTGTCTGGACGCAGTCACGCCAAAAATTGCTCCGCTGCACAGTCACAACGGACGTCCCTAATGAATATCGTGTTACAAGGGTTCAGCCATCACCGGCCATTGGACGAATATTCGATCCTGAGGCTTTTGCAGACAAGCTTCTTCAGCCAAACTTCGCCAAAGATATCAATAAAGGGTTTGATGCAGACTACCAGTACCTCATCGACACAATCAAAACAACCATTTGGTCAACCAGCCGGACGAAAACAATGCATCAGCTCTGCAATGAGGCAGCCGTTCGCTAGAAGAGCGAGATTGAAGTCTTATGAACAATTGAACAACGAGTGCACTCTGCAAAAAATAAGAAAAAACATTCGACAGAGCGATTAGTACAGAAGGACAAAACTAAGAAAGACGGAATTAAACAACGACCTGGAGATGGCCGAGAATGCCATCTTCCTAAAAATTGGATTCCAGTAGCACTGAGACGAAGGAAGGACAGGACTACAGATTCCTGCCGTATGAAAGCGATCTACAAGAGAATGAACAATAATCTCTACTCCTCAAAGGTAGAGGGAAATCAGAACCTGCCGCACGCTTCCTGATGTCTGGTGTCACCTGGGACGAAAAAGATTGGATAATCATGAATATCAAGAGCGGTAGATGTCCTGGCAGGCATGGCATAAAACCGGAATATCTCAAATCAGCATGAATGATCCTATTACAAGTTCGTGCCCAAGATTCATAAAGTACATCAGGCCGAAGATGCCGCCAGAAGCATGGAGTTCTTCGACATTTTTCAATTCAAGAAGGGTGATGTTGAGGACCTCCGAAACTGAAGGTCCATCACTCTACAGTCACATGACTACAAGGTCTTAACCTGAATCAACCTCAGCCGCATCTAAAATTCCTGGAACTCTTCGCAGGCAAAGAGCAAGGCAGTTTCCGAACACCGTTCTCAACCATGGACTACATTCACGTTGTGATGCAATTAACCGAAAACTGTAAGGAATACCAGTCACTTCCCCCCTTGGGCCATGCATTCATCGACTTCAGAAAAGTTTTCGATTTCATGGAGCCAATACTGAACGCCACAAACGACTGTGGTATCAACCTTGTTTGCTTTTGCTGGGAGCAAAATTATCAAAAACTTTTAAATGACAAAACATCTATCCTTACGCTTGAACCTTTCCAAGTGGGTCCCACACCGATGCGCATACAACGCACCTATTTAACAGTTCTGTACATGTTAAGTTATACAGGTACCACCTCAGGGACAGATCCTTGCAACTGGACAATACGGTCAGGTGCACAGACTTTTTGCAAATAATCTTCGACCCTCAAATAGCGTCTTCATAACTTCATGGCTCTACAAACGATTCAACATTTATGTGTTTCAACATAAAACACATAATCGATAAAGTAGGACAAGTTGCTGAAAGTGTTTTCAGAAATTTATCGAGTACGCCAAGGTTCATTCTTCGTCGCGCATTTTTCTCCAGGAAATGAAGGAAATTCGACGACCGATTTTGAATGGACCTCAGCTGCTTTGTCTCCGGCTGTCAGTGGACACAAAAACCGCTGAAATGATAAAAACACGGATCAAAAATGCACGTAAAAACTGTGGAATGTTTGAATAGCGTGTTATTTTAAAAAGTGGCAGTATAAAAATACTGCAGTTTTGCAAATATGTTTGGTATGTTCTGAGGTAACGTCTTCATTAACTGTTCATGTAATCGACACGATACAGTTACATTCAAAATTCAATGCTACATGCAGATACGTGCAGAAAATGTCACAGTAATAGGTGAACCGAGCTTGCAGACGACGTCTATTTGGTCTCACGACTTCGATTCTGGTGCTGCAAGGTGTTCCAATTCTGCACGACGTCGATCAGACGGAATTGGCGATGAGCTCTGAAACGACTAACAACGGCAACTAGCCAAAATTCATCACGACTTCAGGTAGGTCTCTCCAGGGAATTACACTCCGACTATGAAATCGAACGAACGATTTGGAGTCATCTGATATCATGAGATTGGATGATGGAACATAAAGAAACGAATGCCTTTGACAAAGCCGTCGGATTTTCCATGAGCGGTCTTTTTGCACAACGGCTAAAATGTGTCATTACCAAATCGGCACCAATCGAAGCAATAACGTGACTAAGCAGGCTGGGAAACAGTCGTAAAGTCGAATAATCTCCTGAAGACCTCCTACACGCCAGTCACACAAAGAGCCGCCATCGTAAAATGCACAAGTATATAAAGCGAAGGGCCGATCGCGAACGTTGTATAGAGCGAAGATGCAGGCCGGCAGGAACAGCAAGGAGAACACTGTGAGGGACAGGGAACCGTTCGTTCTGGGCAACACTTTGTTCATGTACAAAAGCAGCGTCCGATGGCGTCGAATAGCGATCATCGCCGGCGTGTCGCTGGCCATCTTACTGCTCATCTTTATAGTGGTGGTGGCGGTGCTGGCAACAAAATCCAGGTATTATTCAGTACTTAACGTTAACAGAAAATTTTCCGACTGCGTGGCTGGAGGAATCAAAATTAGCTGAAAGAACCAATTTATAGTCCAACGTTTCAGGCAACTCTGATCATCACAGACTTACTGTGAATGGAGAAGAGGGAAGTGGCGATGCTCATCGAAATCAGTGAACATTTTAAGATACCGACGTATTACACCACCACTCTGTGTAATGTATTCCTTTTGTGCACTGCAACAACGACTTGACGGAATTCTTGAATTCGGCATAAAAGTGCCTTCTTTACACGCAACGAAGTAGCAGTGATCTAAAGGATCGAGACCCAAAGTTTTGCGCGTATCTCACGGAACTTCTTCCAGGTAAACGCGACGAGTTAGCTGTCGTTGAGGTCATTTGCTACGGCGGGTTCGTTCTCCGCCAAAAGTCGAGTTGCCCGTCCATGCTACCGTTTGATGAAATTCTGACAGTTTTGCACTGTGCTGAGGCACGAAAGCCGATACTGTCAGGAGAGTAAAAAGGGCTCCATTCCGATTAGGCTGATTTAACCTCTACTACACCGGCGCACGGAGTTCATCATGGGACAAACGAGAGATGACTCAAATGTATCTCATCAAATGACAGTGATCAGACTGCCTTTGCCAATCCAATCCATAAAAACTGTGATCAGCAGAGAACACGTACACGTCGTTAGCAGAAACCAACGTGCACCTCGTAAGGTATTAGGCTGACAGGCATTCCTCAGTCGGTGGAACGTCGGACTCAGAATCGATAGGTACCGAGTTCGAGCTTCGAGCACCAGTAGGGTCACTCGTATTTCTAAATTGATAAACGAGTACAACTCTGCAGGATGAAATGGAGTGGAGAAGTTGCATGCTATGTTATCCGACGCCATTTCCAGGTTTAAGAAGCAGGCTTAAATCTCTTTCGTATGTTCCCAGCATTTTCCGCAGATACGGTAAACATTATCATTTCTCTTTCTACGTCGTTGCCATGGCGTGCGCGTTTTTAACAAGTTGAGTTCATGACCTCATCTATGAGGAAATGCAGCAGTTCACTGGCACGACTTTGTCCAGCAACGGTTTCCAAGTTTTACCCGAGACAGAAAACTACATAGCACGCTTTAGCGAGAAAGCCGTCACCGTCAACCCGATAGAACTTCAAACCGAGGTTGGTTGTTTCCCGCGCGAAGCGATGATCGCCACTGCGGACGGCTTCAAACGCATGGACGAGTTACGAATAGGTGACACGGTAGCGGACGTAGACGCAACTGGACGAGTGACGCAGACGAAGGTCTACGCGTGGCTACGGCTGGACCGGGTTCAGCACGAGTTCGTTCACATCAGAACCGAATCCGGTCGATCATTACGCCTCACGCCAAATCACCTGATATTCCGTCAACTGCGAGGATCAACAGCAACCTCGCACGGCTGCATGGGCGCCTCGGCAACAGAACACGAGGCGGTTCTAGCCTCGGAACTCAATGTGGGCGATACGGTTTTCAGCGCTACTGCCGAACCGTTTTCCTCCTACGAATGCGACAATGTAACGTCGGTCAAGAACGTGCAAGCCTTCGGCGCATACGCACCTGCGACGATGTCCGGAACGCTACTGGTGGACGGTGTTCATGTTTCGTGCTACACATCTTACTGGCTGAAGGACACGATCGGCCACTACTTTATACACCGAGTGATAATGGCCCCACTGAGGGCGTTGGCGCATGCCCTCTCCTTCGCTGACCGACTGCTGGACGATGACCACAACACCATGCAAGAGCGCTTCCTGAAACCCGACGAGCGCGCCTTGTGGTTCGTCGACATGTGGAAGGTGTTTCGAAGCAAAGTGTAAAACCGCCGAGTCATGCAGCTGACTAAAGCGTAGACAACTTGTGCTAAAGTCACTATTTGGCGTTAACGGAATGTGTACAGAGCGGAAAGTGTGTGCGTTTCTAGTAATAAGTTGCAAAATAAAAGGAAAATACCCTGTTACAATCCTCAACATCACAGAGTTCACATCAAAAACACATAGCTTACCCGGAGACACATGACTACTGTACGCCGTTCACTTGTTTTCAGCTAGGAGTCAATTCAAGCAGGTCACGGCTCCATCGAACAGAGGAAGCAGCCGTTGTGCATGAATGCAAGAACTCATCGCCACGTTCGGATGAACACCAGCGAAAAGGCCTTTAGCCGAAGGCTCATAAATAGGAAGCACTTATCCAGTATTCTGCACTCATCTACCTTATGGTTAGCTTTCGATGCCGCTGATAAAAACAACCGAAACTGATCAGTCGGTACAGCGTCGGATTCAGAACCGAAAAGTCTCAGGTTTGAGTCCTGACCAGGTCACTCAACTTTCTTCTTTCTGAGGATGATAAACGAGTACCACTCCGTGGGATGAAAACAGGAGACTACAGGCTAGGATCGCCACATATGTGTAGACTCTGCCTCTAAAATAGGAGAATCCTGACTGATGACGCAAAAATCACGAAGGTTACCAATCATAAAAGTGACAAATGAGACCGACATCGAAACGGTTACAGACTTTCCCTGTTTTCGCTGCCTGGAAAACTCCTTAGACATGATACAGCTTTGAAGTTTGTAAGCACAATCCGGTTAAGAAAATCTGTCAACACAAAACGATCGTTGACTCTCAACCAGGAACCCTTTCTTGGGACCGGCAAATATTATACAGTCATCAGTGATAAATATGTATCCTTCTGTTCAAAATCTATATCTTCATTAATTAGATATGATCGACAAAACAACAATGAAATAATCAGATACAGTCAAAATAACGTTATGAAAATATGTACACCTACCATTTAATTCGCCTTTCAAAAAGATTGACCTCAATGCATGCGAAAATTAATTCTTTAGGCAACAAACTTCCGTAACACCTTCAACCAGCAAACTAACATTGCTAGGCCAGGCGTGTTTACCAGAAATTTATTGCTGCCTTATATCAACAGCTTTCTCTGATCATATCTAGGGTGCTTTATTGTTTGCTATTTCCAAAAGAGTTTGGCAGAGTTTCTGCAAAATTCTGCATTGCCTTCATTTTAAGACTGGTAGGCAATATTGTATGAAATAAACTGTAGAAAAAAATAAAATAATTCCAAGTTTAGATGGGACAAAGAGAACCGACCCATCAGCTGGCTAAATACGACGCGACAAACACAGACATACCACAGAAGGAAACTTCAATGGCTAAAGTATCAATCGATGGTCACAGAAGCGTAAACAATTGCGAATGCAGTTGCAAAGGCCAGGTAAGGGATCTGCTTAGCGGAGGGTGGTTCATCGATGATTCAAACGGTAGTAATCGTAAGATGGTGGAAGACGGCAAACCGAAAAGCGTAGAAAAAACGATTATTTGTACAGAACTTACAAACAGTCACAAAACGCAACGTACAACAGGAAAATTAGTGATTCCATGTGTTCTACGTTTTGCCTGTGTCCTTTATAGTCCCCCCAGGCGTTGCTCGACTAGTCGGGCAAAACCGTTTGCAGACAAAGGGAAAATTAGCGTTCCCGTTCCGAAGAAGTTGTCGATAAACAAGCAGTTGACGGTCAACACTGCCTGCTACCTGCGCAACAATAAACCTATGGTCATTCATGCGATGGACAACCGATGACCTTCCAGAACTGGTGCATCACCAGTGCCGCGGACATGCTCACAGAGAAACTGAAAAACTAGCATCAAGAACACGAAAGACGTGAAGACTTGTTCTAAATGAAACGACTCCAACAACGCAAACAGAAAAGTAAACTTCAGTAACAAGTCGCAAAACAGAAAACAAGTACTGAGGTTAAGATTTACGCAGCCGGACAACAAAGTTGTACACATCTGTCG